GAGATGCAATCATGATCATCTGTTTGAATTTCCAGCAGGGGCATATTCAAGCCGTTGGATTGGCTTAGGTGAGAATCAATCACAGCCATTCGCCCCAGATCACCTGATGATCGCTCGATTAACATCTCACTCCCCCATTGTTCGATTGGTCCGTAGCACGCATGACGCCATACGTCAGGCTAGCTTGCATGTCTGCTAGCGGGAAGTGCCCATTTGAGCCACGGACATATCACATGCTGATGTGATCCATCTCCTTGAAATTAAAGAAAGCCCTAGCTTTCTAAAATTCCTTTAATTTAAGTTTTTTGGACCTCTTTATATATCTAAAGAGCCCTTAAATTTTTTAATTTCACTCTTAGGTTCTTAAATTTTTATTTTATTTACTTTTGTGTTTAAAGATCATTTTTAATTTTTTCTTGGGTTTATTTCTCGATATTGTATCAAAATTATATCCGTTTCTTTCACAATTAATCTCCTATTTGCTTGATAATTTGATTTTTTTTTATTAATTTAACATCTTTTAATATTTTCAAATCCTACCCCTTTTATTCCCTTTTTTTTAATCTTTTCTGAATTTTATAATAACCCGGCGTCCAAATTACGGATGTTACAGAAAAGAATAATAAAATAACGAATTATAAAATTTCAGAAACCAAAGAAAATTAAAAATATACATAATATAGAATTTTTTTGGGGAATGACTAAATTTTTTTACTAATTAAAATATATGACCCGATAAATACGTATCCATGTAGTTAACAGAAGTACTGTGTACTCACTCCTATGTCACTGGTGACATGTAACACAAAATGGAGTTACCCACTCAAAAATTTCTCCTGTTCCTGCTCCTCTGTATCTCTCAGAAGTTACTGCGTCAAGTCGAAACGAGCATCAAAAGCCCCATTGTTGGCAATCAACTTAGTTGGTAAGTGGCCACCGAGCTCCTACAGAATCTACATTCTGTGAAAAACGAAAGAGATGCCAACTGTTGGGCATAATTTTCATTCAATGCTTTCAAATTCGTTACTTTACAAAAACCCCACTTCACCAAAGTTTCCTCTTCCCCCCATTTCACCATACTTTCCTTTTCATCAGGTATTTTCTTTCTCTCTAGCCGATCGGTTCCGAAAAGAGCAACCTCGAGAATGGCTCTCTCTCAGTCTCCGCAAGACCCAGGTGTCCAATCTCAGCGATCCTTATTTTGTTGTGTATAGTTTCTGCTTTACTGTATTTTGACAGTTTATTTTTTTGTATCTTGAATGCATTGTTTGGATTTCAACTAATCGGTGTTTGTATGATTCGATCTTCATAAGGCAGAGTAAAAAACCAAGTTATGTGTATCGGCAGATGTGGAAGATATTGGTTTGCTATAAAATTGTTCAGTTGCTTCTTTTGACTTTCCTAGACTTGCAATCCTTGAAATTTTTGTTTTTTTGAAGTAACATGGATCTTGCCTTTTTGGTTGATGGAAGCATTCAATTTGATGTATGTTAATTAAACCATTGGGTCCTTGAGTTAGCCGTATTTAATGTATGTTAGTTACAGGTTGCACGAATTGATGAAACCACATCAGTTCGTTCTTTTTATTTGTGTTATGAATACTATTCTCAACTCTTTCTCATGCAAACGGTTGGAGAGTTTTCTATGAGCTTTCTATTTAAGGCAGAATCCTCTTTTTGTTTTTGCATTGCACTTGGAATCAATTCATAGAATGTCCGGAGGTGTTGGCAGTTGATGTAGGCCATGAAGCCAAACAGTTTAATAGCTCTTTATTTTCAAATCAAGTGGTAGAGTGAGTTTGTAAGTGATGGCAGTAAAGTACGAAACAAAATTTGAGATCCCTCATTTTGATTTGCATAATGGAAACTAAATATGTATGTGATTCTTGTGAAGAATGTTTGTGCAGTTGCTTTGTTGGGGAAAGATACCATGACTAGAATGATGACAGATATAAAATTTCATGGGAAGGATAAGATGCCTTGGGCAAATCTCATTCTTGCTTTAGAGGATTCAGTTTTGGCCCATGTTGCAACAGAGAAAACTGCTAAAGATTTGTGGGAAAGATTAGAAAATATTTATGAAGGCAATTGTTGAGAATTATTGAGAAGTGAATTCAAAAGGAAATCGAATGCGATATTTTGCTTTTGCAAACCAACCATTTTGTTTCTAGTCACCCTTTTGTATAATGATGAGACAGTTCATGGAAGGGTGAACTATATGTTTGACCAGAATGATAAAATAATCATTGTGAAGAATTCCAAACATATTGATCTGGAGCCAGAGGCTAAATCTGACATTATCTCATAAGCTACCACCACTATGGATTGTCACATTTTGAATCAAATTTTTTTTGGAAAAAAAAGAAGGGCAAGAATGTTGTGTCCCTTTGGTTAATAAAGAGGTTTTCCTTAACTTAAGCCTTTAAACTCCCTTAAACCTAAATCTCTAGACTCTCGGGAAATAAGTCTGATAGAACTCTGGACATTAATGAACTTTCTTCTGTTTGCCCGTGGACCTTCTTGCACCTAGTCTCTGGATTCATTTGATAATGCTGGAATTAAGTCAGATCGTGTTCAAGAGACTGATAAACTTTCTGATTTAATATTGTAAGACATTCTTGAACTTGTGTCCATATTTTCATCTGAGCTTTATGTTTGATTTTTGAGATGATTGAATCAACAAATGAATTCTAAGATATGAAGTGCAATGAACTGCCTAGTTATTGAAGGGCCTAACAAAAGTTTCCTATTATCTGAAGTCAGCTACCACTTATAAAAGACAGACATCATTAGGTAGATTTTCTTCCTATTATATTAATTACAATCAACTAGTCAATTTCCATCAATCAAATAATTTGTAGTCAATCAGGACGATATCTTCTTGTCTGGTTTTATACCTTTTAGTTCTCCCTAATATAGTTTCTTTTTTAATGAAAAAAATTGATAGTCAACTTGTACTCAAGCGATATCAATTATTCAAATTCTTAATCAATCAGTCAATTAATCTCTTAACCATGAATTATCAAATCATATCAATCAGTTATTGATAACTTTTGGTTTTGTGTATGAAGGAATTTTCCATCATCAAACTAGTTTCAAGGCATTTATTTCAACACTTGCAAATTGTTAGAAAGTTGTCTATTTAAGAGAGTCCTCTTTCTATTCTGGAACTACACTTTAAATCAATGAAGAAAGTATGGAGTTTCTGTTATTGGATTCATGCGGCAAAGCTGGTCCATTTGAATTTGGTTGTTTCTATTCTTGCTGGCATGTTTTTACTTCTCTGCTAATTTCTACGTAAATGGCCCCTGCATGTATGTCCATATCACCTAGCTCAACGAAGAACTGAATGCTTTTATATCTGTATTTATTTCTTACTGATGACTAAGGGCTTCATAATTTTTCTTCTTGTATGCATTGTTGTTAGGTGGATTGTTATAAACTCGTTATTATCTTACATGAGCATGTTGGCCACTTTCGTTCTTTTGTGATCAAATAATTAGGATTGCTTGTGGACTTCACTTGATTTCACAATGAAAAATCCCAAAAATAACTGAGTGAAACATTAAATGGAAACAATAAGCTTCTCTTTATAAACTAAATATGGGTTAGTTAAAGAAGTGCTAATTTTACGGGCTACATGGCCAATTTAGATATTTATTTTTCTATATTTATGGTTTTGATATCTTTTGACATTCATTACGATTATATTGTGTATATACATTGCAAAAGTTGCCTGGCCGAAGAAAGTTATGATTGCAAACAAATATGGTGAAAATCTTGTTGGCCTGTTACACGAAACTGGATCCAGGGAAATGGTAATCTTATGCCACGGTTTTCGATCCACAAAGGTTGGTATTACGAATTTCAAGGATATGTTCATGGTTTTTAACAGAGTCTAATTAATTTTGGCCAATTCATTATTTCTACGTTGAAAGGCTTGCTCTTTGCCTCAAAGTTAATATTAATTCCCAATATTTTCAAACTACTGGTACATGTTTTGGTTCACGAAAATAGGTTGTTATACTTTTAGATATTGCATATTCATAGAATTATCAAACTACTGGTACATGTTTCTGGTATCATATCTATGCAGACATATCAAACAACTGTTACATTTGAAGAAATTTAAATTGGTAATTTATCTTGGTTGTGAATGGAGTTTTAGAGCCTTTGTTTTTCTTTATCCAGGAAAATGTTACCATGGCAAACCTTGCTGTTGCTTTACAAAAGGAAGGAAGCAGTGCATTCCGTTTCGACTTTGCTGGGAATGGGTCAGTATAGCATTCAGTAATGTTTAATGTGCCTATTGAGCATGATATTTCATATGAACATCTCATTTCTATTTACTTCTGGTGGTATAGAAATTCACTTCTTTCCCTTTTGATAAGATAGATAAATAGCCTTATACTATATGTCGTAATGGATTGTATAGGGAAAGTGAAGGTTCTTTTCAGTATGGTAACTATTTCCGAGAGGCTGATGATTTGCATGCAGTAATCCAGCATTTCCATGAAGAAAATCGTGTAGTAAGTGCAATCCTTGGGCATAGTAAAGGTCAGTAAGATTGATATGGGTTTAAATGAGAAATATGACTTATATAGTTATTAACAAGATAAACAGAAAATAATTTCATGAGATGGTGAAAAATCTTCGGGAAGTCATTGTTTTGGCTCCAGCAGAACATTTGCTTTTAAAATTTTAATGTTGATATACAAAAGTACGTGTACTCTAGGCCAAATGTTGTACTCAATTTACTGAACCAGAAATATAGCTGTTAATCTTCTAGAACTTATACATGAAGGTCGATAGTGTCCTAAGAACAAACAGTTTTTATGTTGATGAGCTATACTGGTAAACTTGCTAGAATTAGTGACCAGTTTGGACATAGATTCTTCAACAACTTGAAGAACATCCTGACTTATATGACTGGCTAGATGTGGAAAATGTATTTGTTATCTAAATAGTGATTTTTGCACTTGCATCAGTACGTCAGTTACCTAGGTGCTTCTTATCTAGCCATATTTCTATTCTGTCTCATCCCTAGTATTGTCCTGGAAATTGTGCATATATATTATCCCCAACTTTCACTAAGTTCGTTTACAATCTGCTAGTGCATTCTACAGTGCTCGGATTTCCTTTTCTTCAAGTCCCAATTTGGAGAAAAATTTTCAGGGAGTTGAACTTATCAAAGATGTTTAAGGAGCACTTAGGTTGAATCAGTTCTACTGGTGCTCTTCTAGTATATCATTTAATGCAGAACCTAGAATCAATCAATATGATCAAAAACCCCAACATGCAGTTTAGTACAAGAACTTAATCCCTAAATAAGCCCGCTATTTAACCCACAATCAACTTGTGATTGAGAAATAAAGTAGTTAAGATATGTGAATTGATTAAAACGACACAAGAAAAAAATCTTCATAAGTCAAAATCAATTTAAGAAAAAAAATTGATGAAAATGTTACAAGTTATCTTAATAAGTAGATACTAATTCTTCATTCAACAAGAAGGTTGAAGAAATCTCTTTAAGAGGGTTAACCAAAACTAAAAGCTTAATTTTATTGATCTCAAACTTTAATGTATTTACAACCTAAGCAATGAGGCTTTTATGTAGCCATAAGCTTTACTAATTATATTAGAATTTTAAAACTAAATCATAAAAAACTCTAAATACAATCTTATTGAGGATTCTAATTAAAAATTAAATCAAAATCTCATAAATATAAAAGGAAGAAAATTCTTCTCTCCTGAATGGGATTTCTAGTTGTGGCTGAATTCTTCTTCCTTATCTTGGTTGGATTTGAATTTCAATAATTAATTAATGCTTGGTGAAGAAATTATGTTGAAGATGCCTTAGAAGCTTGCAAGTTGAAGTAGAAAAAAATTTTGCTTCCATTAGAAAATCAAGAAGAAAATATAGGAGAAAATCAATGAGAAAATCTAGGAGAAATATAGGAGAAAATCAAGGAGAAAATCTAGGAGGAAATCCAGCCATGTTTGAGTAGAAAAACACTGTGGAAATCGGCTATGAAGGGGAATCCTTGTCCATTTGAACTTTCATACTTTAAACATGATTCCAACTCCTTTAAAATATTAATTTGTGAAGATGAAACCATTTCGAACTCTTGCAAGATCGACTTCTAATTCTTTGAGTAAACTTAGGCACAAATCCTACTTGAATTAGGATTCATGAATTCCAAATATGACTTGAAGTTGAACACCACAGCTTGATGAAGAGAATGTGTGGCAAAGATTGTATCCAAGTGGACGGTTTGGATAATGTGGAATCTCGACCAGATTTAAGGGATCAAATATTTTAATTTCAGGTGTGAGATATGCTCCAAACCAGGATAGGACTCTCCCAAGGTGAGTGATTAGCTTCCACTTGTAAAAGGAATGTGAAATCCCAAGAGTCCACCAACTGGAGGACTCTTTAATTCCACTTAATTGGACCAAAACCATGAGGATCTTTGAATATATGGATCTTATCATGACTTCCATGTTTCATGAGGTTCCTTGAATGATTCATGTTGCTTTGGCCCACATCATCATTTCAGAGAGAGAAATAAACTAAAAACAAAATAGTAAACCATGAACAAGAAATTTGATGTCATTATAGCTACTTCGGTGTGTGCATTTTTATTTGCAATAATTAAATAATATTCTCACATGCATATTGTCAATCTCTAATTTAAATGCAGGGGGCAATGTGGTCCTTCTTTATGCTTATAAGTATTGTGATATTCCTGCTGTTATCAATGTTTCTGGCCGTTATGACTTGAAGAGGGGCATTGAGGAACGCTTGGGAATCAATTTTATGCAGAGAATTGAGAAGGACAGATACATTGATGTTAAGAATAAAACAGGTAATCTTTGATCTCATGTTTATTATTACAAGTTTTTAAAGCTTATTTATCTTATGTCAGCCAGAGCCCAGAGGACTCAGACAAGTTCTGGTCACCTAAAATTCTTGGTTTTCTTGTTTGATTTGGCATTTGAGAAAGGCAGTTAATTTATTTTTGTATTTATTTAGCTCCTCATGATGCATAAGTGATTTGATTTGGGAAGTTGTGTGATAGTATTATGTTATGTTTGGTTCAAGTGCATCCATTCTAATTCAATTCTTAGATCTTTATATATCAAATTGCTTATATTATGTCATAACTGAATAAACTCTATCCAAATCTTCTATCTCACAATGATGAATTTGTATTCTCCATTGTTAAGGGAAAAATCACAAAACCGCCTAAATTAAACCGGACACAAAATTGAAATGGAAGTAGATTGATATTTTTATTCAAATTCCTATATTATTTGTGTTGTATATTTATTTCTATTTGAATTCCAATTCATGGAATTGAAAATGGAACCAAACTCAACCTTAGTGTTATTCTTATATAAAAACAATGGTTCCTCAAAGTTTGGAAGGGCAGGTTTTTTTATTTAATTATATGAATCCAAATCTTTATTGTGTTAAAATTTTGGTTTTTATCCTGTAATAGTTCAGATACGAGTTTTGCTGTTATCTATTTTTTCTTTTCTGCAATTTGACATTATGTTATGTAATTATTTTTATTTGTGAAATCTAAGAAACTTCCTAGTGATATCTTACATTATGTTTATACTGAAGGGGGTGAGGGCTGAAAAGAAAAATATGGGATATTTGATAATCATTTTTTGCTTGGATATAAAAAAAATGTAAAATTTTTCAGATAAAAAGTTAAAAGGACTGGAGAAAAATAAGAGGGTGAATATTTTCTCAGTTGGAGAAAAGAGAATAGGAAGGAAAAGAAGTAAAAATTTTATTCTTAATTGTCTGTCTGCTTACTTTATTAATGAAGATTATAACTGATAATATTTTTAGCTAATCATGTTTTTCCTGCAAATCTAAGCTGAATAAAGTATTACAACAATCTCTTCCAGTTCTAGTTATCCTTTTTCTTTAGAATTCCTCTTTTCTCTTTTTACTTTCTCCTGATCTCTTTGCTCATTTTATATCTAGCATGGTTTTTTAATCAGTACTGTTTAAATGTCACTATTTGCAGCCTAGCAGTAAAAAGGTCAACTGCATTCTAAATATCTCTATTCCTCAATTCTTTGAATATTTAATTGACATGTGTTAGAATAGCATGACTTCTGTGTTCACAATCTTGTAGAGTTGTCGTGTACCGTGTGACTCAGAAAGTTTAATGGATCGGCTAGCTACAGATTATGCTTGAAGCGTGTCGTGA